AAGATAGGGTAGGATAAAAAATTCAACAGGATTAAATTACAAAATATTGAAGTAACCTATTTAATATATATAATATTATATATATTAAATAAGTAATGACATAAAATTAATTAATTAATTAATGAAAACCAGCTTTCCATGAATGCCGTGTTTTAAATACGCGCTTGAATTAAAGCAAATAGGCTAGCTAACCCTGAGCAACAGAAAACTGGAAACTGGGATGCTTACCATTTTAACTAAGAAAAGAGCGGGAAACTTTGACAAAAGGCACGCGCGTCTACCGGAAGAACCAAAAAGTGCGGGAAAAGTGGATTACCTCAATCGGAAACCGAGTTTTCTGAAACTTTCTTATCGAAATGACACAAACCATTTGTTTTCCAACCGGGATTTCCGTTTTTTTCTTGGGTAAATGGTAAGTACTCCTCGAGTTTTACAAATAATTACCTGTGGTGTCTATAAACACGTCCTTCAACTTGGGTGCTAGATAATTCCAGTCAAGCGACAGAGCCAGGTCTACAAAAAGTCCCCACTGTCCTTCCCAACACAGATCCTCCTGCCAAGAGGTCTGGTAACCAGCCTTCTTGTAATGCCCAAACAAGTGTTCCATCTCAACCGCTGGAGGATTGTTACGGTCAATGGATTTCGGGAAGAGCTTTCCTGTGAACAGCGCATGCGTGTTCTCTGCTGTATGACCCTCGACCGCCTGAAACAACTCAAAGTCAAAAACACGAGCGGGAGAATGGGCACTATCCTTGATCCAGCGTTTGAACACATTGATAGTTTTTGGTAAAGAGCGATAAAAATGAGCTCTGGCCACCGAATCTATTAGGATYATATTAACATTTAATAGACGTTTATGCCTGGGCTTACTGTCGTTGTCTTTGATAGTATAACGAGGATCTATTGGTAACAACTGCACTATTTTGCTGCCAGCGATCTTTCCCTTACACTGTAAAAATACATAATTATACTCATTGCGCCTGCTGTGTTCCATGATCAGCGGTAGGCCCTTTTCTAATTTGTTAATTGAGCTGAATGTGTGTATGACGTCATGCTGGCCATTTTTAGGATTTAAGGTTTTCACGACAAATGAGCGATATTCCTGGCGACAGAGTTTTCTGTTGCATCGAGCCTTCAAGATTTTCTCGTTATTTTTGATTGAAACATTAAGCCTACAAATTTCTCCCATATACCGATCCTCACATTTCGGTGGTTGCAAGTAGTATAGTTCTTGCGCTTTTTCACACGCTTCTTCCGAAGCACGGTGCGGCTTGCATTTACCATACGACACCAAACTGGACATATTCCCAAGTGTGTTGTCAGGACACCGGGCATTGGTTACCTGGTCGAATTTAGTGGGCTTGTGAAGATTAACGTCCAATTCTTTGACCTTATCTACGTGGTTTGTTCTAACACGATTCCCGATTTCGTCGCCAACATTCTGCGCTTTCGCTTGCGTTGCTTGGTAACGTAAATCTTTTGAGGCAAAAAGTTTATATTTCTTGTTAAATGAGTCTTTTCTTTGTGGTTTCTCATTCCTTCTTTTTACCGCCAATTCACTCCCAAGAAAATGGTTCGACCCGTCTATTCCTTCATCAGACCGTAAACTTATTTCAGATAGCTTGACTCTTAGTTGAACCAAAGCCTTCGTTTCATCGTTTCTTCCAAAGGTTTCTTTTGCAGTATCAATTGACGAGATTAACTTTTGAAATGGCTTCGTAACTGATAAGTAATGGTTTTCAAAATAAAAGCAGTCGAGACAAGTGATTGTTATAAATATAATAAGAGCTGCCTTGATAAATCGTCTCTTGTAAAGGCGACAGGTGAAACTTCTTCTCATTTTAATTTCGTATCTTGTAAATATTCTCTTGTAAATGTCCATACATTTAGCACAGTTTCAATTCCACTTTTCCTCGTGAGCTTATATAACGCATTTCTCACTCATAGTCATGTCTACACTGTTGCAAGTTGACACGTCTTGGACTGTACTAAGAACCTACGATGTAAAAAAATAACAACATCACTAATTACCAGTGGATTTTCCCTTGAGCCTCTAATAAAATAATTATATTTGAAAGATCTGATGGCAAGATTTTGCTGTATCTATTCAGATTGCGTATAATAGTTGCTATCGTGGAGTGCTCGCACAAAACCCGTGAAACAAATACTAATTGTTTTGTACTAAATAGTTATAATCAAACCATAGGAAACATAAGATTCTGTATGAATTACTACTAATTGGTACTTAATATTATTCACGGGTTTAGTGCGTGCACGCTAAAAGTTACAAAAACCAATCTATTTTTTCATTCAAAATTTTTCTCCCTGTTATGATTCTAAGACGGCCAGGTGAAATTTCTTTCAACTACACCATGTTGTAGACACCTGCATTACAGCTTCAGGGTATGCCGTATCGTTTTCAAAGTTTAGACTGATGAGTGTTCTCTGACAATGCGTTATATACGAATTAGACAGCGTCATCGCTCCCTTGTTATAATTTAATCGTTTTGATGAAAACCAAATAAAAACAACTAAGTCGAGCTACTTTACGTTCAGTCGTAAGTTGTCTGTGTTGTGTTCTTACGAACATTACTAGTTTTTGGATCTCAGATGTTTTAAACTCGAACGGGTTGCCTTGTTACCCATTGTTCACTTTACCTCTATTTGTTCGGGGCCAAGATACATCAATATTTCACTGGAAGATAGCAGATCAGGTTTGTCGACTAATGGGTCAAATATCGTAAAGTTCGTATGTTCTAAGGTATCAACTCTTTACTCACCTGGCAGATGGAGATAAGAACTTAATATTTTAGTTCTTGACATCTTTTAAAATCCTACCTAAAGTACTAATACCGTCAAATAGAACGTAAATGAGGAGAGGTTCTTCACCAACTAGCTGCATTGCATGCCAAACGGGACAATTCAATTCTATTTTTCTCCCATGTTTTGTTTAACTGACTATATAATAGATTCAGTCGGTAAGAGGCACGTCGTGTGAACATTATACTGATCGACTATTCGTGTCTAGTTCAGTTTACATAGCTGTTTCGTATCCAGGCAACCAGGTAATGGAAGAGATCCATGGTAGACAATTCGAACAATCAGTATAATTTGTATTGTAGAATGATTCTGAAGAAACGATTTTCCATTTACTGTAATTGGCTACGTTTACCAGCCATTTCAATAGAAGCTTTGCACCACCAAGTGATGACAGCCATGATAGTTGACAGGGAAAATTGAATCTGGTGTAATCTAATTTACACACAGCAGCCCAAACAAGGTTCCTGTGTATGGTTTATAAGGGAATGTATGGGAGTTATGATAAAGTTACGAAAATAAAATGTTTCACTCAACAACTTGCCTCAAAACTTGTTGCAGTTGTTGCTTTTCCTTTGTTTAGTCTTCTGGCAAAGTTTCAGCGCGATTTGAGGCCGTTTAGTGGGTTCTTTAAAAATCCGCTCTTTTCTACCTAGAGTTTTGAGGCAAATTGTTGAGTGAAACATTTTATTGTCATGACTTTATCATAACTCCCATACATTCCCTTATAAACCATACACAGGAACCTTGTTTGGGCTGCCTGTGATTTACATGAGAAAAAATTCAGTTTCCGAGGGGAGAAAGACTCTATTGTTGTGCCTCCTGTCATTGCTGCCATCACGTGATTGTGGCAAGCCTCCATACAAGTAGTAGTAGCAACCTTGTGTYGCATAGGGATTGTCTTTGGACCACAGGTAGCCCAGACTCCCACATGGGAAGAGTTTACCATTAATCATGCTTAAAAGGTTGAAAAATCACGTTGAAATGTGTGCCATCGTGTGTGTGAGAGAGTGTCATCGTGTTTTTTCCGTTGCTCTCTTGTTTTCTCTGTTCCAAGCCCGATTTTGATATGAAATCGTAAGCAAAGCATATCGCTCGCCAAATTCTCGCTTCGCTTGAATAAAACACTCTTCGGGACAAGTTCTATCCATGCATCGAACTAAATAAAATTGAGCAACAGCAGAAAAAGAATCTGAAAAAAATCGTCTTTGATTTCGATATTTTCTAAGGTATAACAGAATGATATTAGGTCGTATTTTAACTAATACATTCGGCACCGGTGAAATATCGGCGCTAAGAGACGTCTAACCTTTGGRCATAATGTTTCCCCATTTCAGACCACGTGTTATTCTATAGGTTGCTATCAATAGACGTCACTTCCGGTAATAGCTCTTTTTTAATGGCTTGCAGAATCCTAAGRTTGTTTTGATCTCTTGTTTTCTGGTTTGACGTCGTGAAAATAGTCAAATACAATAGTTTGAGGACTTATTTTGATATGTTTTGACTTAGCATCCGCTAGTTGCCCCCCAGTCAACCGCTTGTTTGCCCCCTAGTCAACTCCAAAAAAGTCACGTGATTGATAGTAAGCAATCGAGAATAAGATTATTTGTTTGAGTTGAATCCATATTCATGAGACTTTAAACAAAGCCGAAACGATACTTTATGGAAGAATGACGTGATCTGTAATGGGAAAACATTAAGTCAAAGGTAAAATATTAGTATTATAAGTGATTTTTCCCCCACAAAATTATATTATTATACAAGAAAATTCAAGTCAAAGTCAAGTCCATTGGTTTAAAAGATTATTTAATTTATTCCTTTCTAAATGCCGACCATGGGTTCCAGAGTATCTCTCGCTCCAGTGCTTGACGACCGTGAAGCACTGGAACTAGACAGTCTCTAGAACCCAGGGCTGCCGACTTCAACTTTGAGTTTAGATTTAAAGTGGCTCCGACATTTCTTTAGTACTTTTCTACTTCCATTTGACCGTTTACCTTTAGGCCCTGGCTAAACGAAGAAACATGTTTCCAAAGGTGGCAAAACTGTCAGGAAACATCGGGAAACATGTTTGCTCAACATCGGTTAGCGCATGCGCACTTTCAAGATAGAGCTAGCGTTGCTAAGTAACGAACTTTTAGAATGTTGACTTTCGTGGCTAAACGAGGAAACATTGGGAAACATTGTTTCCATGCGTCTTGGAAGCATGAGATGTTTCTGTCGCACAGCAGAAACATTTTTGCGTCTTGGAAGCAAAATTTGTTGCACGTAGCAATGCTTCGCATGTAGCTAAACTTGGAATCATCGGGAACATGCGCGCGGGAAACATGTTTCTGGTAACGTGTTTCCTCGTTTAGCTAGGGCCTTAAGGAATGTTATATTTTTTCAAAATCAAACGAGGCACACAGCATTCTAGCTGTACATAATTAAAAAACCAAATGAAGAAGAAATGAAGAGCGAACCCAATTTCCCAGAATCCTATATAGTCGTACGTCGTCATGTTTATGGTTCATTAGTTTTATTGACAGGTCTAAACATTTGTGCGAGTGTGTGTTTTCTACTTTTTGTATCACGTGATCTTCTAGTATGATATCACGGTGTCATCTATATATCTTACTATCATAACACTTGGTCATCGATGTATCTTACTATTATATCACGTGATCATCCATGTATCTAGTCAATATCACGTGGTCATCCATGTATCTAGTAAATACCACTAGGTCATCAATGTATATCACTATAGTATATCACGTGATCATCAAAGTATCTCACTATAGTATATCACGGGATTGTTTATGTATCTAGTCAATATTACGTGGTCGTCTATGTATCTCACTATCATATCACGTGGTCATCTATGTATCTCACTAACATATCACGTGGTCATCGTATGTATGTGGCATCATGTCACGTGGTCATCGTACGTATATGGCCATCATGTCGGCGATGGACACTGCATCTTTACAGGAAAAAAACAAAGCACTGAATAGAATATACACAGAAATGAAATGAAAACTAATATATATATTTAGGCACTGCCTAAAAGCGGAGCTCCCGATACGGAAGTCACAGGGCAAACAATTTGAATGAAACTGAAAGGTAAAAATAAGTTCGGGGGAAAATCTTCAACTATTTTTTATTTGAGATGAAGATAATTTCTCCAATAATAAAAACCATGCAGTGAAATCGAATCAAAATGCAGTACTTCTTTTTTTTTTTTTTTTTTTTTTTTTTT